TCTCTCTCTCTCTCTCTCTCTCTCTCTCTCTCTCTCTCTCTCTCTCTCTCTCTCTCTCTCTCTTCTTAATTAGAAATCCTTGGAATACTGAGTATTTAATTTGTATCTTTTTTCTAAAACTAAAGGTACTTCCACAATTAAAGCAACTTTTAAGGTTACAATGGAACCTTTCCATACGGACGCCCGTTCTTAACGCGGACTAGTTCAGAGGATGAGTTTCATTTGATTTCAAATATGCCAAACTTTATACCATTCCTACTTCAACATGAAAGCAAAGCTCTGTCCGTTTGGTGTTCGTATCAAGCTGGTTTGATTGTAAATCGTCATGACTCTTCAACGCTCTTTTTCCAGGTATCATGACCACAGTAGCAAAATTCCCTCAAATGGGGATGTGAGTTTTTTATGCAATCCGGTTGTGATCCATAAAGATTTATGCGACTGATGTGCCCGCTCACTTCAAAACGACCCTCAATAAGCTTAACAGACGCCTCAAAAACTGCAAAACTCGGTATGGTTCGAAACTTAACCTGGTAGATACATTCAGTTGGTTTTGTTGCATTCTTAAACTCCGGTTTTCCGAGACCTAAGCCATCACCATCTTGTATTCCACTGAATGTTTGCACTTTAGAACTCAGTGGTAGTTCTTGCCAGGCGCCTAAAATAACGTCTAGTGTTAATCGTTCACATAGCCTGCTCACTTTAAGGTCTTTCTTGAGCAAGCTGTTAATGTGATCAGTGGCAATCTGGGCGCCAATACGAACATGCGCATGGGTGGTGTTCAGAGGCAACCACTGAACACATGGGCAAAAGTACTCTGGTATCTTAGCGTCTTGACATGTTCGATTTCGAGGAAGTTTTGAGAAAAGACTTATTCCACGGGTGAGTTCTGTCTGTGAAGGATCAAAAGGATACTTGAGTAAATGCATAAAAGTTGCATGTAAATCCAACGGTGATATGATAATATCTGTATTTGATTTGAAGTTCTTTGCCAGTTTTGAGTGTTTCAAGCGGAAGTTATCTGGCAGCGCAATGGATAGCAATGGTAACCGCTCCTCCAGCTTTCCCTGCATGGTCGATCGGAACTCCCCTGTGCGCGCACCGTGGTCTCCCATGACAACAAGCATGGTGTCGTTCAAAAATCCCAAGTCCCGCATCGATAAAAAGAACTCGTAAAAGTCTTTCTCTGCAGCACCAAGAGGTAATATTGTGTTATGATGGCAGAGGCTACTCAGAAAACTAAAACCGAATTTAGGTGTCTTGGGATAAGCTCTAAACATGCTCTTTAGATATTCAAGCTGAATTTTATGTTGAGGTTGAGCATTGATGCATTTCTCATGAAGTACTCCTGCGTTTAGTTTGTGTGGCACCGCTGACCAAAACGGTCGCGCGTAATGATCACAAGGTGGCTTACTAAAGCCTTTGAGTCTCATATTGAAAGCACCTGACAGCAAAACAAAAAATATAATTTTAACTTACAATAAAAAGCTGTAGAAATAACTATCACTTGGAACCATCTTGCGAAATCGCGTCACCTAAATTCGGCCTAATATACTAACCCAACCTAACAGCTCGTTGTTCCAGATCAGGAGCTGCATGGACTCCTGCCCGGGTGAGATTTGGAGGTAAATAGTTCCCGACAGCTTGGAGGGGGGAGAAATACCTACTAACAGTAATTGCTCGCTATAGGAAAGACACACAGTGCACCCAAAGACTGCTAACTAAGACTGCAAAGAAAATAAAAGAGATCAGTGCACTCAAGGAAAGAAGTCGATGTGACTAGTTTACCTATAGGTGGAGCATCTTCACTAAACATAGTAGCGTAACCGTACTCCTTTAACGACTTGAAAATAAACGGCCATGGATCCACAGTTCCGGCGCCCTTGAAGCCAGTCCTCGCCTCATGAACTTTACAATTCTCCTCCAGACTCCGTCCGGTCAAGAGCGCTGTCAGCTGAGGCGTGGTCCCCTCACCTACTAAAGAGAACCCATTGAACATAAATGCCTGTAGCTCGTCCTGCAGAAACTTGTACGAGCTGCGAAGGAGACGCTGAAAAGTTGCGTGCGAGGTTTGGTCCAATCCTAAAATGACAATATTTAATGGTATACCAGCCTCTTGTTGCGGTACTCGCCGCAGCACGTGACTTTTGGGGACAACCTGTGCGTGAAAATCAGTTTGTTTCACTCCATTGAAGAACTCGGCGTTCACTTGAATGAAATCGTGGTTTAATTTCAACACTGGTGCTTTATACTTCAATGGTCTGCGATTTCCTAAGCGGAATCCAGAATCGGAGCCACCCGTCTGCCTATGTATCGTTTGAAAGGACAGATTTGTAACAGGCGCACCCCTGTCATGATAAACCACGACTTTGAGAAGACCATCACGGTAGCTGGTAAATATCGTTGCGTCGCGTTCACACGCAATCGGTACTATAGGTAGAAAATACCTCATGGAACTTGCGTCAAAAGGATCTATATTCGGAAGACGACAGCTCACTTCTCCAGTCGAAATGGGTCTTTGTACTTTCGTTGTTGACGTTCCGCACTTCAGATTATTGACATAGAATTCTAGAAAACACAGGCCATAAATTATAGAGTTGCCAGTTTACAACAGTTAACACTTTGCAGGGCTAAGGCCAGAGTTCTAAGCTATTGCATGTTACTTGGGCACTGACCTCTTTGTTTCTGTGCCACAATAAAATTTGTGTTCTTTTAAACTAAAATTGGATATAACATCTTGCGTGTTATGAAAATTTTTTCTTCTGGGCTAAGAAAATCTTGGAAGTTATTATTTACTCTGATAGCTTAGAGAATGAACGCAATTCCTAGCCCCGAAAAAACCGAAATTTATACAGTTTTACTTTCGTTTTCCAAATTGCGCAAAATTGCAATTTCTGTAGAGCGTGACTTCGTGGTGAGTATGAATGGTTCTGACCATTCTTTTAGGAAAAACTGTTCATAACATCTTAACAGTAGACGCTTTTCTTATTTGAGCCTAGGATTTCATTTCATCAAACATAGCAGGAAACCAAATTTCTAACGTTTGCATTTTTTCTCTGCAAGCTGATGGCAGGCCATCATAGCTTCTTTCTCGGATGGAAAGGCTTGTGTCGATACAGGAGCTTCAAAATCATGCTTGTCAACAGCTTTGAAATTATCTAGCTAGGGTAAAAAATATAGAATTGATTTAAATAATAATAATGACTAACTTATGATATTGTTTTAAGCCTTTCCACTTTAAACAACTCTCGTTAAACTCAAGAACGTCACTGGTTATAGCATTACTGTAAAATAGCCGCTTGCGCGAAAATAGTGGGAAGTACAGGTTTCTTTGAAGCATGAGTGGCAAGTGTTTGCGACGTGGGCTCGAAGAAGGAGGGAGGCTATTCGCGTTCTCGCGCGCCCAAATACCTTCTTTCGCCTTCCCTTACGAACTGCAGCCACGCAGCTTAACACTTTTTTCCCCGAACCATTTTATTAAATTAAGTATAACCGTTAACCATTAAGTATTATCTAGCCTAGGACTGAGCAAACTTAAATTCGACGTAGGCCGGATGAAGACTGAAGAGTGAAGAGAGTCCCTCCCCTTCACTTCCGATCCCGTCCCCCATTTCCATCGCCCTTTCAAAGACTTACTAAGTCTCTAAGTAACTCATTTTAACCCCTTTCTATCTCAGAGATGGGGCGATAGTTTACTCAGTATACCAGTAGCATAGTATTTGTATACGAGGTATTCATTGCTTGTTACATGTGTTTCTTAATTTGATTTTACCGGTTTGGAAAGCACTTATACTGAATGGTTACCAACCTTTTAACTGTCTACCCACTAAAATTAGCGGCAGATACCACTTACTTTGATATACTCTTGAGGCGCAAAGGTTCTGTGCAAGTCGTCTACCAGTGGCGTTAGGGTATGTACCTACAGAGAAGTGTACGTGTCGACAGTTATTTCTCCTTGGCCAAGCGAGTACTTGATCTTTAGTTAAAGAAAGCATGTATGGTCACAGGCGCGGATGCACACCGGTTTCCACCGTTTTTCGGAAATCGGTCAGATTTTTCAAGATAATTACTTTGAATACAACTTTCCATTAAGTTGAAATCTTTCCCCATATCCACTACGATCGATATGGAAATTGACCTTTATGAAATAACCCGCCGATTTGAAAGGCTCCATCCGCGAGGAGAATGGAACTGGCAAATATCCTGTCTGAATCACTCAGAAACCCAAGAAAGTGATCGATTTTAGGGACGTTAAAAATCTAAAAAATTTTCCCGCGGGAGCATGCCCCCCGAACCCCGTTAGAAGCTTTCGCTCTCGGCGTTCGTTTAGGAAATCGGTCAGTATTTATCCAAGATCCGTGCCTGGCATGGGTCACACTTGGAACGTTATCCACAAGTTCAACAGCTATAGCCATCATAAACTAGATGGTGCGAGGTAGAATCTTCTTACCTGTTTTGTCGGCCATTCAGAACTGGCCTTAGGTTGCTTTATTCTGTTATTTTTAGTGGAAATTTTATTTTCCCTAAATGAAGTATGATACACAGGTGTTGTTGGTGATTTATCCTCCTGTTTCCGTCGGTCTGTACTGAGCTGTCCTCGAGAGGTAGACTGCTGACCAGATTCGGTTGTTACTTTCGAATGCCAGGGTTTAATGAAAGGCGAGTGGTTGACCTTTTCTAGCTTTATCGCTAACTTTGCTTCCAGTTTCTTTTCTTTCTCTTTTTCTATCTGGTCGCTAACTTTCCACATGCAAAGTAGATTGATTAAGACCATCATTGCTGCTGAAATAATGAGAAATTTGCGGACCAACTGCAAAGAGAAACACTTCATGGTGCGTCGGACATCAGCTTCGTCGATTCAATGCTTCGTTGCTTCAAACAATCAGAATATACCTTTTGTTTCACTGTAATGCCAAAAAAACCATCGACATGAACGCTGTTGTCAGTTTAGTTCGCTGTGGTATATATTTTCATACGTATTGCTCATTTTTGGTGTTCACCATTCTTATCTTCAGATGATATGTGACAAAAAGTCGTAAAGGATTTGCCACACCGAATCAGTGAAAACTCACTGTATAACTTTCTACTGATGAAATCAAAGCTAGTTATTCCGTCACCAAGCTAAGACATCCCACATGAAGTCGTCGCCAAAGTCGCACACTGGCCTACTCAAGAACTAGCTAATAAGACGCAAGCACTCGGAAGTCAGACCACAGTTGGTCTCCTAGCTTATACAATTCGTGCGTGTAGAGCATGTTAAAAAAGTCATTTGAATTCTCAGACCAACGATCGATGCACTTCAGTGCTATTTTATAAAAGCCACGTCTCTAGTAGAAGAACTTTAGCCATCCACCTCTTGTTAACACGTATTCAGCACGGAACAATGAAATTATTAAGGTAAAACATTTATGCTTGAACAAAGCTGAATAAACAGAGTTGGCGTGTAATGCATGCGTTCTGTGTGATTATATTATAAAGCTATGCATACGACATTTGAACATCTCTCCTTATTTTTGTATCAGTTAGTTTTCAACTTCCCTTATCACTCAGCTTTGCATAGTCTGTTTTCGTTGTCAGTTGTTGTTGTTGTGTTATTATTAGTACTATTAACCTATAATTCTGAAGGAACAATCACAAAAAAGGCCTTCGGGTTTCAAGATCTTTTGATAATTGTCAAAAGCTTAGGTGGTTTAAAATTGACTCTCCGCGATCAAATGTTTAATCTCAAAGCCTTGGATAGAAGAGCAGCACCCGAATCCCTTATTTAGAAGATGTGGATTCATTTCGGTTCGAGCCTGAGTATTCCACAAGATCAAAAACATTACACCGCTGCCTTAAACTGATGCAATGAAGAATTGAAATTGCTGGTAATCTAGCAGCCATTTTTCGCACAATAAAACTACCGACGCTGAATTTAAAGACGCCGCCTCAAACTAGAATGCGGAGTCACTGAAAAGATGTTTTGGTTATGAAAATTTCCGTGAACTGATTTCTTTGTATATAAAAATTGTAAGCAAATTTTCTTTATACTAATTCAACAGAATTATCCAATATTTATTTTTACATATTTTTTAAGCTTTTCTTATCTTGATTTGTTGCAAACCTTTGGTGTTTTAATGCAGTAGTTAATGGCATTTGTATGATGGCGTCCATTTCGTTTTTCCGTTCATATTTAAATTTTATAATCCTAGAGAGCTTTAAATAACAAAAGATCTATTAAATTTGCACAAGAAAGAAAAATCCTGAAGGATTCTGGAAGTGGTAGCCAAAAGACATCGTCGTGGAAATAGTGGAAATAGCCCTATTCAACTAAAGGTTATTATTCTAAAATGTACATTAAGACTTTTTTCCTGTTAAAACCATGAAAATCAATCTGAGAGAAGCATTTGTCAGGCCATTCGTCTCTTTGATGTTTGACTGATTTAATTCTCTTATCAGTTTGCCTCAAACCTCTGATCCTTGTAAGGCCCTACCTTAGTAAAAATAGTGTTCTAAAAGTTTATCCAAGAAACCCCAAACTTGTAAGGCCCTACCTTAGTAAAAATAGTGTTCTAAAAGTTTATCCAAGAAACCCCAAACTAACTTGTTGTTTCTTTAAACATAAAGAGTATCAACACTGTTTCGTCCCATGTAAAGGAATCCAAGAAAGTCTTGGATTCTGGATTCCACGTCACGGATTCCGGATTTTAGGTAATGGATTCTATTCTTTATTTGTCAGTGAAACTTGGATTCTGGATTCCAATCGCTAGTGTGATTCCGGATTCTTTGAGCTATATTCCGGATTCCAAGACCTAGGATTCCAGATTCCATAAGCAAAAAATTCCCGGATTCCCGTATATAAGGCGAACTGAACAGACTGACTGTACATGTTCAATGTCATGGTATCATTCATCATGCTGGAGCCACTAGCTCCTTGCCAGCTGGCTTTGATTGATCTTGATTTGATAGTGTGTTTTACCAAATCGTCACTAGGTAGTTTTTTCTTTACAGTCTCGACTTAGCGGTAACTGATAGGAACCGGCTTCCTCCTTTTTAAACGTAGAAGACACCATTTCGACGCTGATTTTATTCTGCGATTCCATTTTTGTCGCCATAAATAGCACGGCAAAATTAAAAGGACTCCAACTGCGTGAGGAGATCTTGTTATAAACATCAGTCTTAAGACCGTTCACAGTCCCCCTTTTTTTTGGAAGATCGTCATGATCATAGTTAATAGAGGGAATGGTTATGAAACCCGACAAAGTTCTTTGTTGTATGTTTTTGTTCTCTTTTTTGGCCTTGACCCTGCACAAATCACAATAGTTGTTTACTCCGTACTGAGGAACTAACCAATAGAAACGTGCTGGTTACGTAATTCATGCATAACGTATGAACGCAAAACAAAAGATTGTGCAGGGTCGTGGACCTTCTAACATAAATCTTGGCA